CATATTCATCTAAGTTACCTAATTCTTTTTTGTGATTGTACATTAAGAAACACTTATGTGAGACTTTAATTACTATTATTGATACAGTGCTCCATTCAATCAAGTGCTAAAAGTAATATGTGAAAGTTCTTTTAATGACTATAATGATGATATTACCCTGTAATATACTGTTTAACCCTGTAATATGCTGTTCATTATATTATGAGATTCTAATGGTTAAAACTATTTAGTCATTTGAAAATATCAGCAGCGGTAAATTGTTAAGTATGGAATTTCAGTACCCCAAAAAAGGTACAGACACAAAAATTTAAGAATATTTATCATCAGTATAACAATTTTCAGTCAGGACTCTTTGCACATAATAAAGTGTGTAGGCTGTGGAATCCAGCCAACCTAGCTTTGACTCTTCAACTTAGTAGCTACATAACCTCAAACAAGTTACTCAAGTGCTCTATTTTTCTTTGCCTATCAGATGGAGATGTAATAATACCTACGTCTTAGGAGCTTCTATAAAGATTTACTAAGATAATAGTAGTAGGAACAGAAAACCACTTGTATAGTCCTTGCTGTGTACCAGACACTGATCTAAGCACACTACATTTAAAAATTTTTTGATCTTCATAGCTGCTGTATGCAGTGGGTACTGTTGTGTATGGCACTAAATATTAGCAAATAATACCAACAACAATCAAGAAGTCAACATGTCTTTACATTCTGATGACAATAGCAATGTATTAAAAATGTTACAATCTTTTATTGAAATTTAAATTCATATTGTCTATCTTGTTTAAAGATTTTTAAAACTCCATTTACTATATTTTCTTCGTCCTTGCTTTCTTGATATTTTAATTAAAATCAGAATCAAGACATGAATGATCACCTGTGATTGTTATCTTCAGATAAACTATATCATATTTTCAGCCAAAGGTTAAACAGTACAGAGGTACAGAGATAATTGGACAGAACATTTAGATAACTGAAGCCCTCATTGGCTAATAGAATTTATCAAGGGCCTGCATTAGTCTGTATTGGTGGTGGGCCATTTTTAAAATAAGCTTTGTAGATCCACAAACAAAACGATAGATTCAAAAATACAAGTAAACTTGACTATAATTTCAGTTTCAGTGATTAATATCAGCAGGTTGTTTTTTTTTGTTTGTTTTGAGACGGAGTTTCATTCTTGTTGCCCAGGCTGGAGTGCAATGGCACATTCTCGGCTCACCACAACCTCCACCTGCTGGGTTCAAGTGATTCTCCTGTCTCAGCCTCCCAAGTAGCTGGGATTACAGGCATGTGCCACCACACCCAGCTAATTTTTCATATTTTTAGTAGAGACAGGGTTTCACCATGTTGGCCAGGATAGTCTTGATCTCTTGACCTTTTGATCCACCCGCCTCAGACTCCCAAAGTGCTGGGATTACAGGCGTGAGACACCGGCGCCCGGCCAATATCAGCAGTTTTTACTGTTTTGTTTTGTTTTGTTTTCTCTCAGCTAAGTGATGGAACCAAAAGGTACTAAAAATCTTGGAAAATAGTTATTGGTCTTTTTTTCCATCTCAGCAGATAAAATACATTGATTTTTTTTCTTTTTCCTATCTTATGACACATATCAAACATGCTCTGGGAAAATTCACAAGACAGTTATAAAATATATGCAATCTCTGTGTTTTGGATGCATAACATAATCTTCCATATCACAGTGGCAGCTTATATAAGGGACGGGAAGGAGTTTTGCTAGAGTCCCAGAAAGTGATAGGCAGTCTTTAAGAGCACTTTGAGCTTCCAGTATCTCTGGTTGAAAAGAACTTAGTAAAAAATATGAAGCATGCAAGCAAGTATTTGAACTGGAATGCATATATGCCTAAAAGCCTAATTTGGGGGAAATTTTCAAGCCCAAAATACTCTAGATATAAATATGTTAAATGTGCAATCCAAGGTCAACCAAAGAACCTACAGCTAACAAAATTAATGATAATGTTAAACTGCAATAGTACATTATTAAAAGGTAAGAATGGCACCAACATAAATCCATGGCCAATTCGAGATACCAAAGATGTTTGGAAGCCTCCCTTTGCAAAATATCAGAATGTCAGCTATCTAGGTGTGCAGTTTCACTGGTCAAGCATAATGAGAGCTTTGCAGTGAATAAGACTTTACCTAATATAGCCAGGTCTTAGTGGAGTATAGAATTGATTAATATTCAGCAAATACTTACCATGTTCTAATTTTAGTTTGTCATATATAAATGCCAACTTAAAATGACCTTAACTAATAAGTCCTGAAAGTAAAAATGAAAGTTAATAGCACTGTGCATCATTTGTCAGTAAGCATCTCCATTCTAAGTGTGTGTGTGTGTGTATTTGCCTCTTACTATGAGTTAAAGGCCCCTCAGAAAACTTAACAGTCAGCTGTGAACCAGCCCTTTAGAATTATTCCCCTTACCCATACTCATACTCCACTCTGCTCACAGTGTGGCTGCTCATAGTGTAACTGTTTCTGTCATGACACATATTTTCCCATTAGTATATTAAAGGAACTTTTTTCTTTATTATATTGATATGTTGAATAGACCTTTTCAGGTAATATTTGTGGAAACATAAGACTATTCTGGAAGGCAGTTTAACAGTCTCTACTTCATAAGTCTTCCCTTCGATTCAACAGTTTCACCCCTATTAATCTATCTGATAAGTGTATTTAAGGAATGGCCAAAATTAATACATATTTACAAGAAAATTTATCATGACATTGTTGCTAGTGCCTAACACAGACAAAATTTTATCAATAGTTCATAGGTTAAAGTATATCTCTGCAATAGAACGCTGTGTAGCCATCCAGAGGGAGAGAAGAAAGCTTTATATATACAGATGCCCCTCGACTTATGATGGTGTTACGTACTGATAAATTCATTGTAAGCCAAAAATACTGTTAAGTCGAAAATGGATTTAATGTACTTAACCTATCAAACATCGTAGCTGAGCTTAGCTTTCCTTGAATGTGCCTGGAACACTTACAGCTTACAGTTCTTCACGTCATCTAACGTGAAGCCTGTGTTTTAATACGACATTGAATATCTCATGTCATTTGTTGAATACTGTACCAAAGGTGAAAAACAGAATGGTGTTGCACCATCATAAAGTCAAAACATTGTAAATCAAGCCATCATTAGTCAGGGACTGTCTGTACTGACATAGAAAGGCTTCAAAGACATGTTATAAAGTGGCAGAATATAAGTGGCAAAGCAGTATGATGTGATCATGTGTGTTTTGAATTTTATATATATATATTATATACACACATTTGTATATAAATTATGCTGGCTTTATATTAAATGTAAGACACATATAAGTGTATATAAGATGAGGTTTGTGTTACAACTAAATAAGAAAAGGTATATAAAATCATTCATATCATGCCTACTTAGTGCATTGAAATAATAAAATTTGCTATTATTTTTACCTTTATGGAGTGGATTGAGGAAGGAAAAACAGGGCTTTTACTTACTTTACATGTTTTGCATTGACTGATTTTACATGGATTACTATTGTAATAAAATAAGGGATAAAAATAATTACTCTTGGGAAAAGATCTGGAACAGCATAAGCACACCAAAATATTAATGCCGTAACAACACTTGACATTTTTCTTCTGACACAAGATATTGATGAACTCCTAATATGTGAGCACAGCGGTGACCTCTGGTACTCTTTTGGACAGTGAGTCTTCCCTAAAGTCTATAAAAGCAGTTTTGGAGTTTGGGTTATTTGTTTTCACCTTTAAATATCTACCCATACTTTTAATTGTATTTCTTCCTACATGTTCTCAGGAGAGTGTGTGTATGTGTGTGTATGTGTGTGTGTATTTGGGGAGAGGGTTATATATACATATTATTTAAGCATTTGGTTGATTATTTTTCAAGCATGGTTGGAAAATTTAAGGAAGCAATGGGAAGAATAACTGATACTAATTACTGCTTAGTTATCCAAAAAAAATAAAGCTCTTTTTCTCCTTTCTTCTGAATCTTTTCTTAGCAAATAAGAATCACCCTGCAAGTAATTAAAAAGAGGTATTCTAATGACCATACCCAATGAAGTACTAAATAGTTATCCTGTTAGAGTGATTATTACAAGAGCTCTAAAGGAAAGCATTGATTATATTATTTATTTTTAGAGAATTTTATTCTCAGCTTATACTCATGGAACTCATTCAGAATAATTTTATATTTTGTTGAAATTCATTAAAAATTTAGAAAAAGGTGCTCATTTGAAAACTTTCAAATAATAGTTTTTCAGAATGACAAACTTAATTACATATAATTGACTAAATTGGTTGATTCCTTCTAAAGTCGGTATGGGAGAAATAATGTAATGCATGGGCCTATTGACAATTTAAAAATACTTGTGGTAAACTTGATGATGTGATGCTATTTTATTGGGAAAGATGGCCTCTTAAGTTGCAATACTTTAAGAATTCAAAGCCCTAATTGTATATAAGCAATATTGTATACTGTAGGCTCATTATCTTTGGAGGGGAGGTTTAATATAGAGTTGGAGAGCACAAAATGTGGAATTAAGACGGTTGGTGTTCAAATCCTGGCTCTGCCACTTCCTCGCTGTGGTCCTGGAAAAGTTATCCTCTCTCTGCCTTGATTTTCATACCTATAGAACAAGGATATAAGTAGTAAGTGGTAGAACTCTATTTCGTAAGGTTGTTATAAAATTGTTGAAAGAATGTAATGGGTTAGTATTTATAAAGCACATCTACATCTAGTAAGTGGTCAATAAGGGTAGCTACTATTATTTGTCATATTGGTCATGTAATATATAGTAAGTGTTCTATATGTGTGTTGTCAAATAAATTAATTGTTTACATATTATCATTTAAAAGAAAACATTGAATTACAATCTGTTTTAAGTATCTTTTTTACTTTTATTTTTCTGAGATGTAAAAATTGATTTTTATACTAGTTGGTTTTGATTATTTGTTTCTTGTTTGTATTACAGTTACAAATTATAATACTGTGGTAGAAACAAATTCAGATTCAGATGATGAAGACAAACTCCATATTGTGGAAGAAGAAAGTGTTACAGATGCAGCTGATTGTGAAGGTGTACCAGAGGATGACCTGCCAACAGACCAGACAGTGTTACCAGGGAGGAGCAGTGAAAGAGAAGGGAATGCTAAGAACTGCTGGGAGGATGACAGTAAGTCTGATTTTTTTAGGTACTATTGTATTCTTGCGATTAATGTATATATTAACTGAAAAGATAAATTGGATGAAAAGTTTGAAATCAATAGTAAATTTGGCAACCAATAAATATTTGGTGTCTTACTTACTAAAAAGTAGATTACGAAGCAGAATAAGAAAGTTATTTTGACCATATTTACAATGAATATAATGTACTGAAATTTAGTGGAATATACTAACCAGAATCAAGCATTCCAAATATTGTTGATATAATTGAACCTACCTTTAATTTCCTATTGTAACCCCAAATGAATACTCTATTTAGAAATCAATAAATATTATACTGGTATAGTGAAATTATAATTCAATGTGCAAAATTCCCAAACACAGATAAATTATGGAGATATTTTTACTGTTTGTAGCTTCTCTATACATACACATCAGAATCCTTCAAGTAAGGTAGTTTTTTCACTCGCTTTAAATTTTTACTTTACTCAAAGCATGGATGAGCGGAAGGAGCAGTGAAAGTAAGGAGACCCTCTACTTGCTGCACTTTTAGTGAGTAAACACTGAAAGTTTAACCTTTTCCCTCATCTGTCAAATGGAGAAATTGGACTTGGACTTAGTCTTTTATTCTAGATCTAAAATTTCTTCTTTCTACTCTTCCTAATAAATTAATTAAATTATTTAGCCTCTCTTGCCAGGTTAAGCACCAGTGATATAAAAATAGAATGTGGAAGTGGCATATTATTAATTAGAAAGGTTGGGGGTCAGGAACAAGGGCATCAGAAAAGGCAAACAGGTGCATGCAAGAGCTCAAATTCAAGACCAGTCAAAGGAGAAGTTTCCCAGCAAGAGTTCAAATTCAAAGAAGTCATCTAGACAAGATATCAAAACTAAGGCTATAAAATCTGGGAAAGTAGGTCAGGCGTGCAGGTCAGAATATCTGGATGATGAAATGTGGACATATAGATAAAGACTCAGATAATAGGCACACATTGGAAGAAATTAAGATTTCTACAATATGATAAATCTAATGGTTAACAAGGGACTTTTGAAATAATATAATCAGCCCTCTCATTTCATATTGTTATTCATTTGTCTGTTCAGCAACCTCTGTAGAAATGAGTTGCAACTGTGACTGAGACTCTGCATGAACGATGTTTATATGGCTTAATAGAGAAGATAGATAAATAAGTCACAAATACATTATAGTTGTATTTAGGTATACATTATGTGGCAGCATTGAGCAGGAACATCCACATTAGAGAAGGAAAAAGTCCTAAAAGAGTTCTGAGTGAAGCAGAGTTGGTCTTAAAACAGAGTTCTTAAGGACTGATGGAGGTTAATTAGGCAAAGTTGAGTGAATGTAAGGTGCTTCAGGCAAAAGAGGCAATACACATGAAGCCACAGAGGCTTGAGCAAAGTGTTCACAGAAAATGAGATCAGAGAAGTAAACAAGAGAAAAAATATGAAGTAATTTGTGTGCTGTGTCCAAGAATTTTAACCTTATCATGGAAGCTATGAGAAGATCATTAAATTAAAAGTACATAATATAATTTATAAATAAATCTGGTGCAGTATGGAAAAAGAATTTTAAAGGGAAGAACCTGAGGTAGTGTCTTCAATAAGGAGGCTATAATAATCAGGCAGTGTTAAGGGTTTTTTAGTTAAAGTAGTTGCCATGGGATGGGAATAGAAGGGAGATATTTGAAAGACATATAGGAGATAGAATATATAAGAATTGGGAAGGCCTGTTTCTAGATACAGTCCCAGGTTTCTAGAAAATAGGACCCAGAGAAGTTGACTTGCTCACTTAAGACAGCGGGTTAATGGTAGAGTTATTAACTTGTTAATACTAAGCTCCAACATTTTTGGAGCAAGGGTTTCTTGTGTATTTCTTGTCTGTGGCCTAAATTATGTAGTTGATCCAGAGTCTTAATAATGGAATCAAGAAGGAAATGATCTGTCTGGGAAAAGGGGCGGTAAGAAGAATACAATAGATGAAGGGAGAAAGAAAGGTGAAAAATCAGTGAAGAGGCTCTGCTTCTGAGAATATGTTAGGTTCGATTGTTTGGACTAAGCCTTTTTACTGAAAACAACTAATGATGCTAGATTAAAAACAAAAACAAAAAGCTTCTTAGCAGTTCTAAAGAGCTAAATAAGACATTAGCTTGTCAAAATCTGAGTGAATAAAGGAACCCATAGAAGTAAACAGAGAAGATCATAGACAACACTTGGGCCCTGAATATATTTGCCTAACCAGGGAAATGTAAGGTGATTTTCAGGCTTCCAAGAGGAAACAAAGCCTGAGACCACCAAAGATAGTTTAATAGCAGATCTTCCCCTACTATGGATTATGTCTTGACTATACCGACGAAGTAAAAACAATTTACCATCTCTAGCATCCCTGAGAGTCAGCAAGCAAAGTTTCCCTGGTTAGGTATTCAGGCAATGGACGATTGTTTCTGAGAAGTAGTAACCACAAGCTGTCTCACACTGATTTGAAACCCAAGTTTACATTGCTGTGTAGACTGAAAATCTAAAGCCATATTTGAGTTTAAAGTGGAACTGCTACAAAGATCTATTGGCACCAGGCAGAAGTAAATACAAGTCTTTTGGAGGAATATATCTTCTTCCTAGTATCATAGAACTCTCCCAAATAATTTAGCAAGAAGATAGAAACATGCGTGAGAATTATCAGAAATAAAAGGAAGCAGAAACTGACCCATAAAGGCTAATTACTAGAGTTATATGATACAGATTATAAAATGACTGCTGTCTTGTTCAAAGAAAAGTCAGATGAACTTGAAATTATCTGCTATGATATGACAAAATACAACCGATGTGTTTTAAGAGTAATAGAGCTAAAAATAAAAAATTTAATAGTAGGAATTTGAAATTCAGAGGATACATTTAACAGCAAATTAAACAGGGTTAAAGAAAAATTAATGATTTGGAAGATAGAGAAAAATTACACTAAATGGAAGTCAGAGAGACACATAGTAAAAATATGAAAAACAGGTTAAGATACATGAAGGTCCAAGATACCTTACGCCAGGAGAAAAGATAATAGGGTAGCAGCCTTAGCTGAAGAAATAATGGCTGGGGTTTTTATTTATAATAAGTGAAAAACACCATACTACAGATTGAAAAAGCCCAACAAATCTCAAAAGGGATAAATAGGAGAATGATGTGAACAACTTAGCAGAAGAAGAGGTTTTCAGCCCTTATTCCCCCACATAAACACCAATTTTGGCAATCATTCACAGAAAAGAATACATTTGTGGGACCCGCCCAGAGTCCTGCTGCTAGGTTCCAGCACCCTGGTGTAGCAAAAAGTACATCAGGAATGGACATATTGAAGAGGGTACGAAGAGCAATTTCACTTAACCTGCATTATCTATCCTCTAAAGCAGCATAGCTCAGTGCCAAGAGAGGCCCATTGGCCAGCAATTCTCCCACAAGGGAAAGCAAGAGCAAGGTGAGTACCTGGCTTCCTCAGCCTTGTGAGATAGCACCTAGGAGGCTCACCTCTGTCTTGTCCTACCCAGAACACTGAAGGAATCAGAATGCTGATTCAACTGGCTATAGCTAGGAGGAGAGAAGAGGAAGGAATGTATGACAACCAGCATGTGTTTCTCAACAGCTAGCTGTAAATCCTACTCACTGGATTGAGGACACCACTGAAACTAAACTATGAATCCTGCAGAACAGTTCACCTGCGGACTTCTCCAACTAGCTGATGTTTGCCCCTAGTACCCTGTGTTCAATAGACATGATGCTCTGCATGTCCCTTTGTATGTCCTACGTGATTTTCTTCAGGCAACACATGGATCTAAGCAACAGAAATGGATCTTAGCAGCCGCACAAATCTACTGATTTGGGAGAAGGCCCACAACCTTGAAACACTTCAGGATACTTTGCTAGGGAAAATAAATGGGAGACTCTCAGAACCAGGCCTGGCTTTGTGGAATCAAGAGAGTGTGAAGTCCTAAAACGAGCCGCCTAAAGGAAACAAGATTGGAGCTGATAAATCCACAGAAAAGGTCTGAGAGACCTTCAGAATCTCTAATCAAGCCCACTGGTAGAAGTCTTTGCTATGGTTTGAATATTTGTGTCCCTTCTAAAATTCCTGTTGAAACTTAATCCCTAATGCAACAGTATGAAAAGGTGTAGGGCCTTTGGTAGGAGATCAGGCCCTTAGCAGACACTGAATCAGCCAGTGTCCTGATCTTAGACTTCCCAGCTCCCAGATCTGTGAGAGATTAATTTCTTTTTAAATTACCCTACCTCTGGTATTTTGCTCTAGCAGCAGTTCCAGACTAAAACAGTCTTTCCCAAAGCCAGTCAGTAAAGACTGGAGGAGGTGACTGCTTTTTTAAATCAAAGGTAGAAATGAAAGCAATTAACGAATGAAGAATCAAGGAAATACAGCACCATCAAAGGAAGAAAATAAATATCTAGCTGCTGACACCAAAGAAATGAAGATACGTAAATTATTGAACAAGGAATTGAAAATAATCATCTTAAATAAATTTGTGAGATGTAAGAGAACACATAAAACTAAATGAAATCAGGAAAATAATAGATAAAGAAAACTAGAACTTCAACAGAGACAGAAACCATTAAAAAAATTCTAGAGTGAGGAATATAATGTCTGAACTGAAAATTTCAATAGAGAGCTTTAGTAGCACCCTTGTCAAGCAGAAGAATCAGTTAATTTGAAGACAGATCATTTGAAGTTATCCACTCAGAGGAACAAAAAGAATGAAAATAAGTGAAGAAAGCCTATAGGACTTATAGGACATCTTCAGGTGAACCATTATACACATTTTAGGAACCTCAGAGGAAGCAAAGAAAGGGTTAGAAAGCTTGTTTAAGAAATAATGACAAGAAATTCAAAATCTGAAGAGGCAAATGAACATTCAGATCTGTAAAGATCAAAGAACTCCTATAGATTGAACATAAAAAAGTCTTCACCAAGGCTATTACAATCAAACTATGAAAAGTCAA